TTTATTTATTTTTTTGGTACTAGGGATCGAACTCAGGTCCTTTTGCTTGTGAGGAAGGCGGTAGAAACACTGCTAAATCCCCAGCCCATAACCCATGAATTCTTAATTGTTTGTTTGACTTTATCTCCACCAGACTTAAAGCTATATGGCTACCAAGATGACAATGCCTGGCACCTATCCAAGACCTTTAGATGGACCCTCTGTAGAGTAACTAACTGCTGATCATAACTATGACCCTCTTCAGCTGGAAGTAGCCAGCTTCACCCTTTGTGCCCTCACAGCAGTTAGGGGTACTTCTTCAGAGGAGGGGATATTGAAGATAGGTAACTTGATTAGATATCTTGTAGGCAGTTAGACAGGGCCAGCCCATGAGGAGCTAACGTGGAGGACAATCAAGACACATTCACTGTAGGCCAGAATTGTAAAAGGAGAGAAATTACTACGCCCTTGTGCTTCCCCTGGGGATAAACAGCAGTGATTGATATTCTAAGTAGGTATCAATCACCTGGGTGGGTAGACCAAGGTCTTAACCCAGCCTTCCCAGGAAATATCCCTGACCCACCCTTACTGAAAATCCTTGTACACTTGCTACACGTGTTGCTCCCCCATTTGACTCCCTTTTAATCAATATTACCTGGGTGACTCTACTTGTAACCTTATTGGTTTGTTGTGGTTTTGCCGCAGCTCATGCCCACCTTGTAATTTTCCATTGGGTCTTATAGCTTTGTCCTACCTTGAGCCCACCTCACCTCATGGCTTTGACCCATAAAACACCTTTGAGAAGTTGGGTGAGTGGGCTACCCACTTTCTGGTCCCCCTCTGTCTCTCAGACAGAAGCTATTTTTCTCTCAATAAATTTTCCTACTCTTAACCTCCATTGTTCCTAAAATTCATTCTTTGATTTTATAGAACAGGAACTCACGTTCCGATGTCTAGTAGGTTTGGGAGTTACGTCTCTTCCCCTAAATCACTGTGACACCAGGTGGGATTGGTGCACTTGGCAGGGAGAGGTCTGTGAGCCTGCCCTACTTCTTTACCAGTCGCCAGCCCAGGTTGCTGCATCTGTGCTTCTGACCCATGGGCCATGAATCCAAGTTGCCACAACCCCCGGCTTGGTTTGGCTAATTTCTAGAATGGCTCAGGGGGCCTTTACTTATCTTTGCCCATTTGTTAGCAGTGAAGTGCCAGGTGAGGAGTGATAAGGCTGAGGTTCCAAAGCCTCAAGCACAGGGGCTTTGGTTCCCGCAGAGTTGAGGTCCCCTTTGCCATTGGATGCATGTGTCTTTTTTCTTTTCCTCCCCCCTCATTTCCTTCTTTCTCTCTTTCTTCTTCTCTTTCTTTTGTTGTTTTTGTTTGCTTGTTTTGTTTTGTTTTGGTACAGGGAATTGAACTCAGGTCCTTGTGCTTGCCAGGCAGGCGGTGGAACCACTGAGCTAAATCCCCGGTCCTCCTTCTCTTTCTTTTGTAGTGGGGATTGAACCCAGGGTTTTCACACTGAGTTATATCCTCGATTCTTTCGCGTTTGATTTTTTTTTTTTTTTTGGTATTGGGAATCAAATTTAGGGCCTCACACTTGTGAAGTAGGCACTGTACCACTGAGCTACATCCTCAGCCCTAAACTTTTTTTTTTTAGGCAGTCTCCCCGTGTAGTTCAGGCTGGCCTTGAACTCAACAGTGATCCTCCTGTTTAGCCTCTCAAGTGTGGCTGGGATGATAAGCATCACCATACTCAGCTATGGGTTTAAACTTTCGAGCCTCCTGCCTCAGCTTCACACAGTGCTGGGATGGCAGGTGTGGCTTTTTCTTGCTCACCATGCTGAAAGCTCTCCAAATTCGAGGATTTTTATGGAGCTTCATCACATAGTATGATCAGTTAGATCAATTAGTTCATTTTCCAACACCTTCCCCTTTTCAGAGACTGTAAGGACTCAAGTTCTAAAGCACTCATCATGGTTTGGTCATCCTGGTAACCATCCACATCCAATACCCTCATCACATCATCTGCGTGATATTCAGTCCCAAAAGGTGTTCCTGTCTCCCCAGAAATCCCACAGGGTATAAGAGCTGCATGTCAGATGCTCCTGTCATTTAGGAAATTACAAAGATCTTAGGAACTCTGCTGTAAATTGGGATCAAAGACCAAGCACTAAGACAAAAGATTCCTCCACCCCTATTCCTCAGGAAATGACAAGGGTTCTAGGAGCCTAGTAATGGCACTGGGAGCAGGGAGGATATATGTTATTTCACAGATGAATGTTGTTAATGTTGGTAATTTTGTAAAATCATGTTACTATAGCCAAAAGCAAGATGGAGAATAGCTTTTCGAAAATTTTTATTTGTTTATTTTAACCTGGGCAGCATTTCCTTAAAAACTTTCGTCATGAGGCCAGGTGTAGTGCAGCCTACCTGTAATACCAGAAATCTGGGGGATTGAGGCAGGAGGCTTGCAAATTTGAGCCTAGCCTCTGGCTCAGGCTGGGTATTGGCTCAGTGGTTCTACTGCCTGCCTCACAAGTACAAGGATCCAAGTTTGATCCCCTAAAAAAAAAAAAAAAAAATAAGACTCTGGCTCAAAAATAAATAAAAAGTAAAAAAGGGTTGCTGATGGAGCTCAGTGCTAAGGCTCTGGGTTCAATTCCCCCAAATATAATATTTTTCCAAATAAATTTTTTAATTGAATAAATAAATACAAAAAGGGCTGGGGGATGTAGCTCAGTGCTAGAGAACTTGCCCAGCATGCTTAAGGACCTGAGTTCAATCTTTAATACCGGAATAAGAGGGGGCGAGGAGAAGAGCAGGAGGAAAAAGAGAAATAGGAAGCGAGGGAGGAAGGGAGAAAGGAAAGAAGGACGGGAGGAGGGAAAGTGAGCCAGGTGTGGTGGAGCAAGCCTGTAATCAATCCTAGCACTTGGGAGGCTGAGACAGGAGGATTCATTAAAATTTGAGGCTATTCTGGGCTACACAGTGAATTTAAGGCCAGCTGGAACTGCATAGTGAGACCTTGTCTCAAAACCCAAATCAAACTAAAACATAATAATAACAATCAAACCAAAACAACAACAAAAAAGGGTTAATAGCGCTCAGAGAATGGAGCAACAGGAGATCACTTTCATTTTATCGTGGTTGCTGGAGCCCAGCCTTCCTGCACTGGCACGTGCTCTACCTCTGGACTACACCCCCAGGCCACAACAGGCTAGTTAAAGGGCATTTTAAGGTGAGAGAGACAGGATTTTGATGTAAAACATGATTGTAAACTCTGTTCAAGTCCCAACTGGTCTGCTAAAGTATGCATAGGTATGGATAGCTATGAAACCTTTTGAAAAACAAAACGACCTTAGAAGGAGCTCTACTCTAGCGCTGGGAATTTAGCTCCTGGGAATTTAGCTCCGTGGTTCAGGCGCCTGCGGCCCAAGGAGCAAGGACCAGAGTTCGATCCCCGGTACCCCCCCCACCCCCCAAAGGAGCTCTACTCTTGAAAGAACTGACCCAGAAGAAATCTGCATCCTTAATTGATCTACCCACGACATCAGCACACACTTCAAGAGCAAATATCAGTGTTGTCTGAGCTACATAGTGAGCTCATGTCAGGTAAGTACTTTACCACTGAGCCACAGCCCTGTCCAGAAATCAAAAATTGTAACGGCCGGGTGTAATCTCAGCGCTTTGGAGGCCAAGGCAGGAGGATCACCATGAATTCAAGGCCAGACCAGTTCAAGTCCAGCCTGAACTACATAGTGAGACACTACCTCAAAAAACCAAAACCAGAAAGTATCCTTCGGGTTTTAAGCACAAAGGTTTCTAGTGTGTATCTGTTTTTACCTATTTATGCCAAAAATTGCAATTTTTTTTCAATTTCTCCATGAAATTCATATGTTACCTAGAGAAATTCAAGGGGCAAGAATTTGAAAACATTTTATTATGCCTCGTTTTACGGGAGTTCCAAAAATGGAAAGCTAGGTATTGAGGGGCTAAACTGTTCTAGCCAACCGGAGTCCATCTTGAGCCTCACCACCATTTTGTTTTCGGGCTGAACAAAGCACCCAAAACCAACAGCCCCTTTGGCAGAAAACTTGCTGCAGCTGCAGGATGTTTTGTAGCTCACCCAGTATGTGAAAGTTCCTCTTGCCCCCACTAACCTGGCATGCTTCTGCTTCGGTACAATTCCGATTGCTTTCCCCTTCCACCCTCCCAACTGGAAGCACGATTTAAAAGGAGAAATCAAACCGCTTTTCGGTGCTGAAGATTCTTTCCCAGCACTAGCCCCTCAGTCGCCGGCTTTAAATAAACTACTCGAATCTGAAGATTGTGGTGCATCTCTACACTTTCAACTCGGTCGGTACAACGAAGCAAAGGTGAATTACCCCTCATTTTTTCCCAAGAGTAAACTAAGACGGAATGAGTGGAAATCCCAGCGTGAAGTGGGGCCCCTGACAATCAATGGTAGGAGGGGCGAGAGGGCGGGGCTTTAGGCCCTGGGTTTCTCTCGTTGCAAACTCCACTTTCTCCGGACCACCGCCCAAAGGCGTCAAACCGCGGGGTGAGCCGCGGACCCGAGGGAGCTGTGAGGGGCGT